GGTGCTAGGAAAGTTGAAGAAAACTCAAGCCACCCGACTGTTGGTCGCGTTCTGTCCAACGTGGACCGTCAGCAAGCTGATGCAATATGCAGATAGTGTGAAGGATTTCGACATCAGCAACTGGACATGGATATTTTCGGACTTAGGAAACAAGAAGGTAAAACACGGGGTTTAGTAGGGTTGCGGAGAAAGCGGAGGAGGGAGGTTTAACTTGCAGAGCGTGTCAATGTCCTAAGATTGAGAGGAAGAGTAAGGAATGATATCCTCTTTATACTACCAGTGTGTTTTCGAGGCTAAGTACTTTTCCGTGAGTATTCGTACTCGGTATTAGACTGGAACAAGCTTGCAACTGAGGCTAATGCGGGGAGTGTTTTCAAATGCAAATGATGTTCCGGCCCATGATCCTCAATTCCAAGTTAGTTCCAGTCCAATACCGAGAATAGTAATATGGTCTGTGAGAAAATTAGTTACAGTTCTACTATCGTTTCCAATGAGGTTATAGTTGATTCGGGCTTCGGCCTCACAAAATATCACCTCTTATAGCTCACCACTGAATTTCCTCCGGTTCTTATTGGTTTAAATTGATCACGTGACGCGATAGTGTTCATCGGCGGAGAGACGCTATCAGTCCATAGTACCCGTTTGGAGAATACCCGGATGGATAGTACTCGTCCGTGAAAATTTTTCTGTAAACAGACTGTACGAATGAATAAATATTTGACTGATCTGTATTTAATGGGTTTTTTTCTGTTTTATATTTTTCAAATTTTATCATTTGACTTTCACGCCTTTCATCCAAAAAAGTTGTAAATAATTCAACATGATTTTTGAACTGGCGCGCGGAAGAAAATTTAGTGGTGAACAATTAAGACAAGACAATGCAGGTGTACACATGTGTACGGGAACACTTTGAAACCGACAGGCCGCGCATTTTGAGGCATTTTGAGAACCCAAAAGAATGTCGTACAGAAAATTTAGTGTTGAACAATTAAGACAGGACAATCCAGGTGTACACAAGTGTACGGGAACACTTTGAAACTGACAGGCCGCACATTTTGAGGCAGTTTGAGAACCCAAAAGAATGTCGCACTGCGTGTTACCATGACAAATTTTCCGTTATCGACTAGGCCTCCTCGTGAGTTGCTCTCAGACCTCGTCCACAACACGCGGCAGGAATATGAAAACGGAGCTTTCTTTCTTCAGTTAGGCCTACCGTCCACGAAAGCCTTTCGAAAACGCTCTTCAAACCCGAGGAATTTTAAAACTCCGGCTTTGCGTATTAGTGTGGACGGAAAACAGTTTGAAAACGAAGCTTTTCGAAAACGATGACGTCACGATAATCATGATATTCTCCTGTCTGAGTTTTCCTCAAACACAAATGCAAAATGACCTGTGATTCTTACGTTTTCAAATTTCTCCGGCATAGTGCGAACGGAAAACATTTGATGCGTTTTCCCAGTGAAAACATTGTTTTCAAATTCCTTTGGCGTAGTGCGGACGGTACACATACTTTGGGAGAAACCAGCACTTAACGCACAAGACAAACACCTTAATTTAGAACTTTCTTTTCATTTATCTTTAATCTTTAATCATTATTTATACACGGTAAAAAAAAAATTCATCAGGTACAATAAATTCCAATGAAATGTCTAAGATCCTAAACCTAAAATTATAATCCTTTATGTATTACCATTGTAATTGTCTTAATTAATTTCCGTAATTTTTACCCTTTAACATTGTCTTCCTGTTACATCCTGATTGGCCTGTTTTATATTTGTCTGTTTCTTATAGGGCGACCTCCTCGACGATGCCTCCGGTGATGTCCCGACCTACATGCGGGGACTGCTCGGTATCAAGCCATCCGTTGGTAAGGGAGCTCGCTATCAAGCTTTCAAAAAGGCTTGGGAACAGCGCATGCCGGGAAAAGAAATATCGGTAAATCTCACTTATTATTAGACACGTTACGATAAACCGCCAATGATGGTTAAGTTTGGCCTATTGTAAAAGTAGCAAAACTCTCTGCTTTGGATCAAAATAAAACGTCTTTGATGTCTTGTAAGGGTGCACAAACGTGATGCCAAAATGTAATTGACTACATCATACAGAAAATTTCCTTTCAAGAAAGTAGCAAGAACCCCAAATCTTAGAGGCAAAAGTTCTCCATAATAACCCTAACCCTAACCCTAACCCTAAGCCTAACCCCTGAACAAAGGCTCGCATGGTTACAGTTTGCTGTATTACGATGTATTTAACTGTTAAAGAAGGACATAACTCCTGCCGATGATAAAGCTCCCTAGTGTAGAGATTAGTTTGGATTTTGTTTCTTAGCAGTAACCATGGATATTTGCGATGTCGCTTAACGATTATAGAACTTACTGTATGTTTTACATCATTATCAACGTGTAACCTGTAAATTTTTTTGGGAAGCAACATTCTATCCCAGCATAAGTTTAAGCGTAAATATCCTCCCGGAATGACGCTCCCCGACCAGAAAAATTAGCCTAACAAAACATGCTTTGAATGAAGACAAGTACAGAACGTACAATTGGGATTACACAAAATTACAATTTTGCGGCAATGTTAATCAGCACTTTGTACTGTTAAAGAGCCTTATTTGTGTGACAAATAAACATTCAACAAATTAAGATAATGCAACAAAGAAAATGGTTCTTATATAGTTACGGTGAATGAAAGGTTGCATCAAATACTAAATACTTGCTATGCCTCTGGAACAGAGTTAGGAGAAATATTGTATAATTCCAGATTAAACTTGCATCAGCGAAAATTTTGTTTTGAATGTAGGAAATAATGAACTAGTGATGGGTGATTGGTTATATTGGTACGTATTCTTTTATGGGGAAATCAAAGATGAAACACAAGTTGGTTGTAACTCTGTTTCACGCCTTAAGGCGATCATCGGGCAGGCTTTATTATACGTATTGTTTTATCGCTTTCCATGGCCAGGTATCGGCAGGTCGAGTATATGACTCAGTATTATTGGCTGCTGAAGGAATCAAGATGGCCACGAAAAACGGAACGGTTTTATCCAGCAGTCGCCATTATCGGGGTTTTTGTAGCAGTTCTGAGACACAGCAGGAAAATACCAGTGGAAAAGAACTGGCTAAACACTTGAACGAGGTAACGGGGTTAGGTGTTAAAAATTTCTTCCCCTTTTCAAGCTTTTCTATATACTGATCTTACATCAGCCTGGTATTGGCGTTATGTTTTTGTTTGATCGCAGCTAAAGAATGTTCTCTATGGATGGATTAGCTTGTCTTTAACAACTTTTTAATGCCAAATTGTTTTAAGACATGAAGTCGTAAAAATTGCTAGTTACTCTCCTTGATTAGGCTAGATGCTTAGTTTTGCTCCAAACATTCAAGTTACTTAACACAAAATTGACTTTGCTCGATATTAAAAGTGATTGATTTTCCCAAAATCTCTGTTGGTTCACTATTGCATTTTTTAAAAACGTTTCTCAGTCACCGGGTTAAATTATTCCTTGTGACCTAGGAACTGTGACCTGGCTTTTACAAGCGAACTCCTCATTAGTATAAGGACATGCAACAGAAATATGATCACACTACAATCCCGGTCAAAAGAAGGTGTGGCTTAAAAACGCCGATATTTTTATCACTACATGTTACAAAATATAAACATTTTCTTTCAAGTTAAGTTTTGAGCCCGCCTCCGTCTCCCTGCACAATGTTGCCGTAGATCAGCGCGATTGAAATGCCACCAGTTCAGCTGACAGAGATCAAAATTGAAAGGGGGAGGGGGTGTAGGGGAGGGATCATGTTATGCGTGACTGGAAAACATTCTCTCTCCACTGCCGACAACAATTTTGACCAGGGTTGTAGGTTTCCTGTGGTGGTCCTTTCTAGGAATCTTTGCCTCCTGTCTCTGCTCGTACTTGCGAGCTTTTTCGCCTGAATTAGCTTGATCAAAACTCTTAGGACTGCTGTAGAAAGATAAAACTAAAAGCTTCACAGAGGAAAATTAAACGAAGGGAAGACAATAATAATTTAAGAAGACAGTAATGATTTAAAACGAGCGCTGCTCCCCAGGTCTCCCTGGTTCTATTTTCGATTTATTTTTTCTTTTTGTTTCTTGCTCGAGCGTAATTAAGAATAAGAAGGCAAGTTGTGAGAAAGGAACATCTGGCCAGCTCGAAGAATATTTAATTTGCACAAATTTTTCAAAGGAGAATTATACGTAATATATCGAACACGAGAGACAGTGTTTCATCGTGATATCCAAACACCGAGAGGAGAGTTGAAAATACGACGCGCAACGGAGTATTTTTGACGAAATTCGAGGTGTTTGGATAACCGATGAAACACTGTCTCAAGTTTTTGATATATCTTCTCAATCGAATCAAAAACTAAGGAGTAACCGGAGAGGTAAAATCGTCAAAATCAAGGCTAATTAAGACCTAATTAAGATCTATGCTAATTAAGACCTTATTTACGGTTGTGATTTTCTTTGTTTAAACTTGATGAATTATTAACGAACTTGAGAGAAAACGTACGCAAACCAACGAGAAGTTTGCTTCTTGTATAGGCTAACTTATTTTACTTTCATTGCTGACCTCATTTAACTTAATTTTGTGGTTTCTTTAGGTCAGAGTTGACGGTGTTATGGGTAGAATTCACGCCAACGATCCAGATTATTCAGCTCAATTTGATGTCGTGAATCTGAGACGCAGTGGAGAATACAAGGTAAGCACAGTCTTTTGAAAAATTTTGTATGTTAGCTCAAAGGAGTAAAAGCGTCTGCTGATGTTTTTATTTTTTCGTGTATGGTCGCTGTTTGCATCACTTTAAATTTTCCGAACTGACTTTTCACTACAGAATTTGAGGAGATAATTAGCGATTTGCTGGAGTTTTCATCATTATTTAAAACAACAAAGACATTTTATGGTGAATTGAAATGTTTCCTGTTAGTGACAATGTCCATTGTGCCCACAATTCTAAAACACCAATACCATCAATTGCTAAGAGCGATTAATTAAATTACTTACTAACAGAATTAGCAATTTTTTTATTTAATGAAATGAGTGGATTCGTGTTATTTCCGCTATCAAGGTATATTACTTGGACATGTGCATTTAAAAATCCTTTTTTAGACGTGCATTCTAATTAGTCAAAGCAAATAGACATCCTTGTGGTATTTTCATATTTGTATATCGAGCTTTACTGCGTTTGCAGGTTGGAGAGTGGAATGAAAAGATAGATATGTTTAAGAACGAAACACCAGTGTGGTCGTCAGGCAGCACAAGAACACCACTTGACATCCCAAATATCCTCAAAGGCAAAACTCTTAACATAGCCACGATTTTGGTAAGAAGTATGAAGACAACTCAATTGCTTTATCTAGACAATTTCTGAGGTAGATTATCTCGTACTGCAAAATAATGTGCCCTTACTGTACGAGCCGGTCACATGATACATAATCAGCCATCCTGAGCTGCAAGTTCCTGGTAGCAGATCTAAAGGTGGACTGGAGGGAAGTGATTCAGCTATTGCTTTATACTACTAACACAAGCATCGTTGAGTAAATTGTCTGTAAATTGTCTTTTTTGTACTGAATATGTCCCACTTCTCACGTCTGCTAATCCGTGGTCAGGCCATGCCTTTCCTTTTGCAAATACCAGAAGTATCGAGGGTCTGCGTACGTGTGAAGTGTGTGGAAAGGCTGGTTTTTTTTTTAATTTTCTTGTTTCCTTTTCTTTCTACTCGTAATTTCTGCGAAAGAAGAGTCCGGCGATTTCCAGGTACACGAGTGGAATCTACTTTGTAGACACATGTACAGAGCGATGCAATTTATTGAACGTTCCCTATCTCCTCACAGGCTCCACCATTCGTTATGTTGAAAAACGACGGTAACTCATCCCCGAATACAACTGAGGAATTTGAAGGCCTTAGCATCGATATTTTGGAGGAGATGAAGAAGAAATTGAAGTTCAATTACAGGATATATCTTGTTCCTGATGGAAAATTTGGAGTGAGAGACAGAAATACTTTACAGTGGAATGGTGTAGTGGAAGAGATAATTAGTCAGGTATTTTTACATTAAAAAAAAAACCAAACAAACCAAACTTCAGACTTCACAGTGTTTCTCCATCTCGATAATCTGTTTTTCGAAGACGATGTAATCTGTTTCATCTCTCACCCCTTCTGGGACCGTAACTGGAGACAGCATAACATCTTTTTTAGTTGTTTTGTCCTCATTGACAGTCTCAGAAGCGATTGCGAAACGAGACTTGCCCCAGGTTTCTTGTCCTTTCTAAAGGGAAGAAATGCTGTCGGGTACTAGTCCATCACGGTATACTCCCAGGATCCCAAGTTAAAAACTACGCATATTTCCTTTTTTGGTTCATTTTCCTTTTTTACTTCTTGCAGACAGCTGACATGAGTATTGCACCAATGACTATTAGCTCTGATCGTCAAACAGTGTTGGATTTCACTCAGCCGTACATGACCTTTGGACTGGCCTTCATGATGCGTGTTCAGGAAGTGAAAGTGAACTATTTCAGATTCTTGTTACCATTCGGCCAGAATCTGTGGATAGCAATTTGTGTGCTGGTGATGGTTATGGGGTTTTTATTGTGGATCTGTAGTCTCTTCAGTCCGTGGGGATATTACGGAAGATGCCTTCAAGTTAAACCATCCAAACAGGTGAATGATGTGCAATTTATTTCAGACTTATCACTGCACGGATACGGCGAGTATTTTTGTGTCCAGTTCAAGATGGAAGAATACTAACCGTCTGTGTGATAGCAGATCCAAAATTACCCCAAATACCACAACTTTGCTTAAAAATTACTGTTTAGCCAATTAGTTTTATGCAGAAATCTTCTGTGAGACGACATGTCTACATCAGACTAAATGCAAAATGCTTTTCAACAGATGTAGGAAGTGGTCTAAATTGTCACTAGTTATTTACAAATTTTGTTGTGATAATCAGTAATTCGGAGGATAACGTTGCTTTCACTTGCTCACTCCAGCTTAAACCAGAAGTCATCAAGGAAGCTGAAACCTTGAGCTTAAGCAACTCTGTTTGGTCATCGTGGAAGGCGTATGTTCGACAGGGCGCCGAACATCCTAGGTCATGGTCCGGGAGAATGACGGTATCTGTTTTCTGGTTCGCTGTGATGATCATCAACGCCACATACACAGCCAATCTGGCCGCTCATCTCACTGTGTCCCGGATGCAAACACCCATTGAAACTATTTCTGACTTGGCGCGTCAAACTCGCATTGAGTACGGAACACTCAAAGATTCACAGCTCCAGACGTTTTTTAAAGAAACAGATGTTCCAAGGTAAAGGAATATTTTGAAATCGCTTGGTAAACCTTCCTCTTCTCTCGTAATAGACGGTTTCTGAATTTCATATGAGCATCCTCTGATAATGATGAGACAGACAACTCACCACGCACATTAAATTATTCATCCATGACGATATATTCGTTCTATTGAGCAGTTTGTGTCAAATCTAACCTTAATTCGCAAAACGTAGTCAGAGCATATGTAGTCAGAGAGAACAGCCATGTCCTTTCGCAATTGATAACAGAGGAATTGGCCTGTACATCTGTTGTTTTTTCAGTAACAGAAATGACCGTGTATGTCTACCTCGGTTTGACGGAAAGCAAAAAGATAGCCCGATGTCGCTTATTAACCAATAACTTCATTTGAAGATTCTATTGAGAAATTTCAAACGTTGAAGCTAGGAACGAGTTGGAATAACGAGAAGAACAAGACATTCGTTATTTATTGACACGCACGATCTACTGCGATTTAATTATTTTTATATTGTTTTCGAAGTCTAGTGTGCATAAAAGACGCAAGTATCGATGGCGTAAGACCCGTAATTTGTTAGCTTTTACTAAACGCTGTTGTGATTGGTTGGTTTTTAGTTACCTGGTAATGGGACAATTCATGGAGCAGCGCAAGACATGGATGCCTGGTTACGAAGCTGCCATCAACAGAGCGATGGAGGGTGACTTTGCCTTTATCTCGGACCGGCCCATTTTGGATTATGTTTCACGGCAAAAGAAGTACTGTGGCAAAATGAAGGTCACTGGCGGGTAAGGAGCACTAACCTGTAAGCAGACTCATTAGCAGGCTGCCACCCAGTTTGGGATCTCCCTATAGAGCGCTATCACATGACGTCACGGCGGCCATGTTATTGTTCCAATACAATGGTATTTTTAGCGTTGGAAAATGAGCTCTTTCGTTTCGCAAAATTCAATACTGCCTCAGCACATAGCTTATTTGGAACTTCGGGCACAGTCGATAAGTGGCTTTGTTTATTAGAACTACATGGAGCTGTTTATACCAGCAAACGGCAGATTGGTGTCGATTCTGGATAATGTTTCTGACTCATTTTATAACAAGAACCAATTAAATTATAACATCGTCACACAATAGCACGGTCTTATTCTGTTGCCAGCAATGATAGTAGTTTTTTCGTTTTGATATTCCACGAAACCACTTCAAATTGATGTCCATTTCAAAATCCATTTAAATGAGAAGACAGTATTGAAGGTAAAGAGTGTTACCTAATTAAGGACTTGAAACAACCAGAAACATGAAAAACTGTATAAATTTTACAGGACGCCGTGAAATCTGTAGACTATGGGAAGTTTCCTCGTCCCATTAAAAAGACGTAAGTTTAACTCGTTGAACTATGCAAGGAGTCTGTTTCAAAACGAAAGAACCACTGTGTCGCCTCAAAGTTTAATCTAATTAATTTGCGGTTTAACTTGCTGCCATGGAGTCTTAGGAATATTTGATGAGTTTCCATAAAAGAAAACTTTAAAAAATCTGTGCTAAAAATTTCCGTTGAGAAGCGCCATTAAAGCAAGATATTAAAATGCCGCTGAAGAGACCAAAAAAAGAGACTTCCAAATATTTTTATAACACAGCCTTAGCGAAGCGCGCGTTCTGATTGGCTAATACGCTCGATCCATTTGCCCTGTTGCACGCTCACGTCAGTTTGTTTAATTGTACTTTTTCTCGGCAATTTTTTTCATCGATGTTGACACTTTTTAAAGCATAATTCCTTTTTTTTCTCCTAAAATATGGAAAGATTTAATCATTCTTCCGGATATGAGGAAGATTTTTCCTGTGAGCTACGAAATTTCGAGCTCAAGTGTTTTGACGGGTCTCCACCTCTAAGAGATTTGCTAATTTAAGCGAGAAGGAGTTGAATTAGCTGGTTGAACAAAGGTACTCGGCACTCGGAGACGGACCAAAAAAGCAGCAACTGGTCTGTATCAACCTTTCGAGGTTAGTAATGCATAGCGGAATTTGAGAGAGAATTTTTCAGCGATTTGGCAACAATAAAATTCAGCACAAGCTTTAACAAACTTCTGTTATAAGTCTTGCTTACGAAATCCTTCTGTTCCAAAACCTTTTAAGATAATAGTTTTTTTGAGCTTTGATAAAAGAAGTTTTATCAAATATTGATGATGAATTATTTCCCTAGTTTCAGTTTTGCTCGATCGCTCGACGTATTCGATCGTGAATTGAACTCTTGAAATTGAAGAAACAGCCGCTCGAAGGAGCGACTGCATCGTGCACAAATATAAGCTTACAATTCTGACAATTTCCTTTAAGACTCAGTCTTCTCTTCATTTAAGCTTATTTTACCAAACAACGAAAGAAAGAAAGCCATTCATGTGTTCAAGTTCAGCCTTAGACGCGCAACTCTTCAATTTAAAACGAAATGGTAAGGAAAACGAAACCACAAACCTGCTATTGAATGAGAGCATCTCAAACAGCTCAAAGCCAAGGGTCTTTGTTCGCTTTCTTCTCCACTCTCGCTTTTAAGAAATATCTGGTTCCATATTGTTCTTTTCTTTTGCCGAAAAGGCCGTGAAGGACAGAGAGCTCAGCAACCAAAAGCAGTTGGTTTTCAATTCTTCGGAAAACTGATCCAGATTTAAGCTTGACTAACTTTTGGGAAAACATTTACCGAATGCAATTTTCGTTTGTTGTCAGCTTGATATTTAGGTTAACGAGCAGCTTGAAGTTTTTTGTTTGCCCCAGATCAAGAAAATGCAAACTATAAACTCGCTGTGATCCAAGAAAAATTTTGATGTGTCACTTTGTCATATTTTTGAATGAACATTTTCGCGCGGTGTATCGCGCTTTTGACTTCATGTTAGCCGGACGATATTCAATATATCTCAAAAGTCTCAATGTTATAAAAGAAATGGTAATCCTGCAGTGTGCAGTTATCGAGTTATATATGCACTTACGCTTCTTTCGTGCTTAACAACCTCCCGCGTGCATATATAACTCGATAGTTGCACGCTGCACGCATACCATTTCTTAAATATTAAGTCTGGACATGCCGCAAACAGAAGTGTCAAGTTACCATTTGAAACTAACAAATAAAAATAACTCGTTACATTTACCTGCGACAAAAACAAACTTCAAAACTCCAGCAGTGTTCCCATTCATAACTAGCCGTCGGTAATTTCTTTGTTTTTGACGGAGATGAGTATCTCAGTATTGATTCCAAGAAACGTTTTGACGAGAAGCCAGTATTACTCCGTAAACAGCGCTAGACTTCCATTCACAAACTGAAAATTTTGCGCCAGCATAAATAGTTTCGACTGAATTCTTTTTTCGTGAACTGCACGTAATGCAAATGATATCCATGAGAACTGACCTGGCGAATACCATCACGGATGAAAGCCCCCTCACCATCGCAAAAGTATATTTTGCACTAAAAAGAATCGTTCCTGTCCTAGAAATCACCGAGTTGTCGAGCGGTCATTTCGTTCGAAATGTCAAGTAATGCGAAAAGCAGAGCCTTGATGACATGTTTGTGTATACCAAAGACAATAATTCCTCGGTTGATCATCGAATTTTGAAATGTTTTGAAACCCATCTACAAAGTCCTGGGCTTAACCACAGTAAACGCAGCATCGGAAAGGTCGGAATAAGGCCAATAAAAGAATGCCTGTTTCTGTTTATTGAAAAACAAAGATGGCCGTTCTAAAATTAGGATGAAATCTTCACAAACATGATTCACCTTTACAAGCGGCAATTTGATTGGTTGTTTATAGCAGCCCCAATATGATTGGTGTGACATACATACATCTCTTACTCACTCACTCATTCATTGACCCGCTCATAACATACCCAAGACCCGTTGACTAAGAGGTATTTTAACTCAATAACTCAAAAATGTGACAAACGAAAAAGGTTAACCGGAAGATGTAACTGAAACTTAAATTCCTTGTTCAAGTCAAATGAATTGTAAGATGCTGTACATCTTAATTAAGGTCCTACTCTCTTAAAGATTTTTCAAACATCATAAATTTATGGCATGATAAAGAAAATATCTTAAAATAATATATTCTTTCTTAAACTTAGATTAAAGCGTCTTACATAGGATGAAAACTTCTTGCTTTGAAACATGTTCTCTATCTTAAATTAAGAGCCACTTTCCTTTTATATTAAGCAAGATTTTCTTAGTCTTAAATTAAGACAAAGGAAATTGTCATTTCGGAATGAAAGTCGTCTTGCCTAAAGATTGTCTTCACCTAAAAGGTCAAATGAACCAAAATTTAGACATTTTTTTCATTTGAGTTCAATGTGTTCAGTAAGTATAAAATAAACATATTCTGAAGTTTCAAACGAATTGGACGAAGCATTGCGGAGATACTGGAATGTTAAAATCACTGTTTTTTTTATCCTTCATAATCGTAAAGCGGTCGGGAAAATTGTGGGGTAATTGTCGGAAATAGAAGTTGTGACGTCTCTGTTGGTGAGCTCAAGAAATGCAGGAAATTTAAAACTGTTTTGCTTTCAACTTCACAGTGAACGTCAGAGGAAAACCACTCAAAATTAAAAGTTAGCACTTTCAAGTTTCCCCAGGACCCAAAACTTAAGAGAGAATGGCTTATAAAATGAAAAGAAAATGCTTCATGCCCTCGAAGCATTCGCGCGTTTGTGTAAAACACTTTACCGAAGATAGCTTTGAACAAAATCTTGAAGTAAGGAGTTTGTCGGGACCTCTTTCAAGCTTCGTCAATTTGTAGTTAAGAAAGACGCGGAACCGACGATTTTTAACTTCATTATGGAACGTTGCAAACCGGCAACTGGACAAAAAACAACGAAAAACAAGCGAATAATGCCCGCCAAACAGCGGGCGAACTCCTCGGCCATTTCCCAAGTAAAATAAGGTTCGTATTTAGATCCAAAACCTTTCCCACGAAAGACTCACTGACGCAGAAACACAGCAATGTTCAAGACAACAATGACGTCACAAAGCAGAGTCTCAGTTCCATTCCTTCCGTTAAAGTGTACGGTCATTTTGGAAACATTTTCGTGAAGCCATCGGCTGTCTTCGTACTTTTAACTTTTTTACTCCTTTTCACGGCTCAGAAAGAAAAATTTCCCCATAAGTTTCCTTTTACAGTTTTTTTTAACATTTCGTCGCTATAAAATGGTTGAAGAAAAGATGTCTAAATTTTGGTTCATTTGACCTTTAAAAGACATGTGAATCGTGCCACGGCGAGAGGCTTAGCCGAGAAAAACTTTGTTATTGTTAAATGCCGTAAATTCTTTGACAAAATCCCGTCCTTATTCCTAAAAGTAAATGCACTTCTTGTTTGCAGATTTGGAAACACCTATGGGTATGGCTTTGCTTTTGCTCGGGACTCTCCCTACACGCCCTTGTTCAAAATGGAGTTGTTTCGGCTTCAAAATGATTTTATAATCAGCAGTCTGACTCATAAGTGGACAGAGGAGAAAGTGAAATGTGAATTGATGGACAACTTTGAGGAACAGCAGGACAAAGGCAAGCCATGTTAGCACTTTTCAAATAAAACGAGTTTCTTTGCAAGACAAGGATAACTAGAAAGGCAAACGTTGTTCAGAGAAATAAACAGTTCCGGAACAAGCCATCTTCGTTTTCAAAGGATAGCTGTAGTGATATTCGGTCGAGAAGTTAATTTACAATTGATGCTTAAGCCTGCGTTGAATACATAAACAATAGCCTCCATTGGGAGGAAAATATGCTCCAATATTTGTCCGCATATATTATCTATCGGAAAGTGAACGGTTTCCCGAGAGCGAAGCTCGAGGAAACTGTGAGCTTCGAGGAACAGATAGTGTTCGAGGACAAATATCAGAGCATAGCAGAGCAAATGGGGTCTATTGCCTTTATTATCCTTTTTTATCGTTTTGAAAATTGGATATTCCCCAGTTTTGGCTGTGGCATATTCAGTCACGTGACGGGTTTAGACCAATGGCGTGAGAATAAAATATTTCCTGAAATATAAGAGATGGTAAATGACAAACGAAGCGCGTGGCGCAGAGTTTCTTGTAATCATCTCCGTATCCAACAAGGGCGAATGGAATAATTGTTTTCTTGTGGTGTAAACGAAATGAGTGCTTTCCATTCAACGAAAAACTGTGGTTTGAATTTTTGGAAATTTCCAGTGACAAATGGAACAGCATTTTCCGGAATGTTCCGGAAAAGAGGACAGCCTCGCCAGGCATACCCGAATTTCCAAACTTTTTTAACGGGAATTTCCGCTGTATTAGAAATTTGTCGGAATTTCTGGTAGTTTTGGTTAAATGGCTTGCTTTTCGGAAATTCAAAAGTTTCCCGACTTTCTGGAAACTTTTCAGTACTTTCAGTCAATCAAGTTTATTACCATTTCGGTCAATACTCGCTTTCGGTCAACACTGTCTTTCTGTATCATTTGCCCTCATTTGGAAATTTTAGGAATTTTTTGTTGATTGGAAAACGCTCCACAATTTTGTTACTCAAAATCGATCAAGCGCACTGAAGAATAAAACGACAAAACCCAAATGTAGGATAACAAACTCTACAGTGTTCAGCTTAATTTTATGCTGAAAATCTGTTTTCACGTTCGCTTTCAAATACTTCAGAAAATTAGCTTCGATTGCTTCACAGGAAAACGTTAAGAATGCCATATATGTAGCAAAGCTGCATGGTTAACACCGCTACCCTAATTCACTTTATATGTCACGCTTAATTCGTTAGAGGAAACTTCAACCGAAATCTTTGTAAAAGACTTTTCTAACTCGCCGTTGTTCTTCCGTTTAAAATGCTGTATGTGCTACTCATTTTCATGACGACATTAATCACGTGATATTGTCTTTCGATACCAGGTAATACCGTGCAAAAGATGTCGTTGCAAGGCATGCTGGGAGTATTTATCCTGTTGGTCATCAGCGTCGTGGTTGGTTTATTTATTTTGATCATCGAGTGGATCTACGCTTCAGCCAAGGATAGCAGAAAGCAAGTGAAAGTGAGTAGAACTGGCTTTGTCAGGCGTTTACGAGGCTCAAATGATATCCAGAGGGTTAAACGTCCGAGCATTGAGAGAAGCTTAGCAAATATTCACTATTTGAATCTTCCCAAGTTTTGATCCAGGAGTATAATGGTGATTGATATCAGCTAACCTTTGTGTAATATGGAATTACTCTTTTTCATAAAAAAAAAGTGATGTCGTGAAGAGGAAAAATTGCAATAAGCAATAATGAAAGCATTTTTTAGCTGAAAATAATGATTCTGATGGTAAGCTTTCACAAAAATGTTTGCTCTGGACTTCATACTCAGAGCAGAAAGGTTATTTAAAAACTGTTCACCAACGCAGTAATACAGTGTTGACAGATATAAGCAAACTTTTTCGCAACCCTTTCCTAGTCTCCTTTGCAGCATCCACGTCACCGTTGTGTGACGTACGCCCCAGAAAGTGAGATAATAAGCCTATTTGCCTCACTTATAGGGACGCCATACCTGTTGTCAAGCCTTCGGGTCCAGACTCCTGAGAACTCTTAAGGACATCTTCTGCTCCCAAAAGAAAATGCGGATGGAGGAAACACTCGAGTTAAAGAATTCTGACTATTGAGAACAGACACTGTACGTCTGATGACAAGCAACGACCGCCCTTTGTTTAAATTTTATTAATCAAGTAAGCAATAGCCGTTAGTGAAGTGACAGTAACAAGTTCAGTTTTGGACGTTAAAAGGAGCTCTATGCCAAGCGTTTTTGATTTGCTGTAGGGTGAGTTTTTGATTTAGGAGTTTTATAGTTCATATTATTTTATAGCTCATAGAATAGTTATAACATAATCCAGGGTATCCCCAGTTTTAGCAGGTGAGAAGTCTAAAAGTTTAATTTTTTGCACACAACGTATTTGTTTTCCTGTTAGGAAGCCTTCTGAAGCTTTGTTTCATTGTTATAGCGGAGCTCCGGCGGCCCGAAGGGCCGCCAAGCGGAGCACCATAACTATAGGAACAGAACCACATGTAGAAATAGAAACCCATGCATGGATCCCATGGATCCCATGGATCCCATGCATGGATCGCGAGCGCGTGCGCCCAACGACGACGACGACGTCGCGAAACATGGCGGCCATTCTCCAGCTAATACCAAGTGTTGGTTTACAACGTCTTTGATATTTGACATCCATGTCATAGTCAATTGACACCTGCCAGAACAAGGTATCCGCTGACCAGTATCACGTGACCATATCGTGGGCTCAGGTTTAGAGCTCATCGAGGCCATGTGTTTTTTAAAGTTGAGCACTGACCAAGTATTTATTTTCGATTGGATCGCGGGCTCATATCAGGTTAATTTGTTGTAATCAGGGCCGGGTTGTTCGGGAATTGGGTTAACGCTAACCCAGGATTAAAAGTTAACCGAAGTTTAAATTGATCTTCTATACAAGTGTTTTTCACTGCTTAAGGTTCAGGGCTCCTGGTGTAGTTTGAGATTATTCAGAATCAAAACATAAGCCCAAAAATATAAACAGAAAACCTCACCGCAAAGTTACAGAAGTCAAATCAAAATTCTCGCTTATCCTGGGTTAGCTTAATCGGGATTTGAACAAAGCGGCCCAGGAGCTCCGCTTTTAGGCCTGGCGAAATAGGCGTGGCTGTAATTACCATATTATCACATTAATATGAAGAACAAAACAACAAAGGAATCTCGTTTGCATTTCGTGATCAGCGCAGGTCACTATTTCTACCCATACCAGCTGTCAGTCTTGAGGCTTTGATGCGACAACGTCAGCGGAAATAGCTGTATATATGAGACGCGATATATGAGTCTCAGGATCCAGACTATGTAGAAGTTGTAGTATGAGATATTTATTATAACATTAAACTGTAGCGAAATAACAGAGATTAAAGAACGCTTAAATCAGTAGCTAAAGCAAAAGGTAGTTTGCACCTGCTTAAAAATAGCCATAGTAAAGGTAAGAGTTAGTCACATCTTCCTTGTTGTAAATGTCCAATAAGTGTTGATATTGCGATAGGAAATGATGATGATGATGATGATGAAATGTCGTGTTGGAACTTTAGTTTACGCTCGTGTCATTCAATTGCTTTGTTAGAAAAATGTGTGGAAGCTAAACACGCCAAAAATCCTTCATGGATGCAATATAGCAAAACCTAGGTAGTGATAGTCGAACGGCTTGCTTCCACCTCTCCTTTGAGTTAACACGGCAAGTGAAGTTGTATTTTATACCTACGACACCGATAGCAACTTAGAGTCAGTCGCAAGAAAGCCTTCATTGTCTTCAAGGCTTCTTACATGGTACTGTATATGTATATTGCTACCTTCAAAAAGCTTATAGAAGATTGTTCTAAAACTGAATCACTAAGCTAAATAAATATAGTACACCCTCAAAAAATCATCCTACTTTGTGTCGGTTTCTGCTTTTCTATTCTTCATTTCATATGGGAAGCCGATTAGATCAACGTGATTGATCCAACGTACACCAACGGGATCATCGTTCCGGTTACCTGCTTAAACATCTTTTAGTCTTTTTTGAATCACTAAGGAGTACTCACTTTTCATCCTGGTGGTCGCTTGACCAGTATTTTTGTAAGAAGTACGTTGAAGAAAGAATGTTAGACGCCGCAAGTTAAAAAAAAAAAACGTTGAAAGGAAGCACTTTTGCAGTTCTTCAGACAACATTGCGGAAGAAATCTCAGTTAGAACTAAGCAAAGTGATTGTAGGCAAGACGGCAAGATTAGTGCTTGTGATTAGGAAACCGAGTGAAAAGAATATTCTTCGGGAATAGTATTTCCACAATCTCTTTAAAAGCTCATAAATATTCAATAACCACCAAAAAGTGTTCCATTTTACCGCCTTTTGATGCGGTTGATTCTCCAATTCAACCCACATGCTTTCCCCTGTGTGTTCCGAGCGCTTTCTCCTACATTCTCTCCTTGTCCTGTGCGCTTAATTTTACGTACTTTTTTATCGCCGTGGCCTAGACTCCGGATTCAGTGGTCTGGGTTCGACCCCTGGCCAGAGTTATTGTGTTGTATTCTTGGGGCAAGACACTTACTGCCACAGAGCTTCTAACCACAGGCAAATTTATTTCCGGGGTAACCTTTCTCTGCATGTGTGAGTTCTCCCTCAACCGCGAAATGACAAGCAATCTCGTGTATTCGTTTGTTTCAGTGTGCGTTCAAAGCGTTCTTCTTGCGTTCCCTGGTCTGTTCCTTCGTACCTTTCCAACTCCGAACGTTGTGTCGATCGTTTGTTGTGAAGTTTTTGTCTGTGCGTTCTATCCAACCTCATTCCCAGGGAAAAGATCTGAAAACGAAGTTGGCGTTCCCTCGTGAGATTCCCTTTCCGTACAGTTCCCTCGTACCCTACAGTCTCCGTACATTCCGTCTTTCAATCTCGTCCCCTGGCTCTCTCCTACCTCCCTTGTCGTCGAGAGGCAGGGCGGGCAAAGGAAAGAGAGCCTGGGGACGAGGTTGTCCGTCTTTCTTCCTTTTATATCTCAAATGTTGCTAAAAGAATAACCTAACCCCAAGTCCCTAACACTAAAACCTACTCTAGGTCCAGCACACAAACCCATGGAGTTCTCTGTGCGTTTTTTGTTCGTTTCCGGATTCGATACCCAGTGGGTTCCCCTGTACGACTTCTTAATTTCGTAACTGTGTAAACAACCAACAAATAGGTCATATTCCTATTCCCGGTATTGGACTGGAACTAGCTTGCAATTGAGGCTAATGCATGGAGTCTTCACGGATGTGAATAGCATTTATCCCTTTTAATATTCCCCCGCACCAGCTTCCACTGCAAGCCAGTCCAATACCGAGAAAACGAATGTGGTCTACTGTGTTCCCTCAACAAACACCAAAACAGTAAATATTACGCTACTTGTAGGCTTTTATTTCAGTTGTACTCATTATTGTATATATGGTGTAGAACCATCGTACAGGATTAAAATCACATTTAAATATCACTCACAACATGGAATAAATACGTTAGCAGTCGATTGAATACTTTAGAAGCCTTCCTTAGCCCGTAAAACCAGAGCACGAGTCCTGTCTATGTAATAAATGCTTTTTTAAAACTTGGTTCCTGGTTTCGCGACTAAGAAAGGTTAGATTCATCAGATATTCTAACATGTCAAAGGAAAAGCTGACTTTATGTTCAGCGACTAAACAATACATTGCCTTCCGCGTTGACAAAGTTTGTCCGTTAAACTAGTGCGATTTTACGAAATACCATCTCCATGGCATCTTCACAGACAATATCACTTAAAGGAGCTAAGTCACGGTTAGCGCACCTTGAAAAGTTTAGCCGAAATTTTTCAAGTTCGTCGTTTGTAATCCGCGTAAATCTCCTCCATTCTTAACCACCCTTGTTAATTTATGGTTTATTATTGTCTCTTCGGTATTTTCCTATCTTAATAACCTACTATTTTCGTGTTTCCTTCAATTTAAGGTGATATCGTACGTGGCCAAAAGAACTCAAAATACCGTGACTGAGGTCCTTATTTTGGAGTTTCGCCTCCTGCAGCGGAGAGCCAGGGACATCTCAATAGAGACAAACTCTACACTCTCACTACACTAGAAAGCGTGCCTCAATAGCAAATATGGGGTGACCAAAGCGCCAACGATTTCCTTAAGACCAATTGTAAATCTCCTGCTCGTTACAATAAATACGATACGAATGACAGAAAACTTACAACAGATCACATACTGTTCGTGACAAGATTTCGTGTTTTGGAATAATCGTTACCATACGATAAAGAACCTTCACAAAGCAGCATAAAACTGCAGTGTATATGCAAGCCAGTTAATTTAAAGCCCTCAGTTCGCGAATGTTTAAATAGCAATATATCTAATTCATTTACTATATATTACTTTCACTTTATATGGGATTATATCACCTTGCTAAGAAAGTTGTAACACAGGAAGAACACGTCGAAACAAATACAATCAGGGTAATAACTTCTCAAAAAGCAACATAGCTGACAACGCTAATGCCTTCCTACACAATGCAAAGTCACGTCCGAAGATTGGCGTATCTCTCTAACTTGTTATCAGCCAAAACAGGGTGATATTCTGAAATAGCGATCTTCAAGTTTAAGGGGCACTGCCATTAACTTTCATCTCCCCAGAGATACTTTGATAAGCTGTACTGACATGAAGACGTCGGGCCATGCCAAAAGATGGCTGGGAGTAAGACAAAAAATCACTGCAAAGTGGAATCCGTGTAAAAACTTTGATTTATACCATTCGGTGTTCAACATGTAAGGAGAAAGTAACCAATAACAGTGCACCTCCCTCCATGTGCTTAGAAATCAAGACGATAAACATAAACAAACAACACGTCTATCGCGAGTTTCTCCCTTACTACTCGGGTACTTAAGTCGAAATCAGAGACGTCTCTCGCAGCTCGCTCGTTCCATGGCCCGCGCAAAATACACGTACGTGACGGGAGACATTTTTTTCCCTCGTGCAAGCAACCCGTGACTTGACGACCTTTCTTATCATAAGATCCGTGTACTTAAATAAACATAGGACTGGAACTTTGCAAGGATTATTATATTCTTGGATTTATATATTCTAATTAAGCTGCGACCGCAAGTCAAGGAATATAATACTTGTGTCGGACTCTAACTACTGATCATTATACGCACCACTCAGCTGCTTTAACCATTCCATTCACAAAACTGATCAATATTTCTTTTCTCCTCAAGATACTCAAACACTGTCCAGTAGACAGGTAAGGAGAATACGTAAACTCAACAAATAATGTCAGACTGAATTTCGCGCTCGTGAACGGAAGGGTTAAATGTGCCCATGGTGTTACTTAATTTGTCATCAATAGATTCTTTTCTCTACCTATCTATGGAGTTTATGTTCATACGTGAACAAACAATAAATAACAACAGACACGTCAGCAGAGCGGCGGCTCCCGGTGTCAATCATACGCTGATCAACAGCATATGTCTCTTTTGTACACTGAGCGAGTAAAACTTCCACATTAACCCGTTAAAATTTAAACACTAATTAAATACAAGCTCTTTTGTTTTCATTTCTTCTTATAACATTTACCCTCACTATTAATGGACGCTGTGATTGGCTACGTTGTAATTGTACTAGATGCGAAAACAGATAGATAACTAAATAAATCAAAAGAATATGATATGACAATTATCAGCGTAACACGTGATGAAAAGACAAGGCATATTACCAGAAACACTTAACATTCTAGCTCTGACGAGCTCTTGGTGGCGTTAAAAATACTGACCTTATTTTGAAAATAACAGCAAAAAAATTATAAGAATTCTATTAAAATTCTAAAACAAGGCTCTCTTTCTTTTCCTTGGGACGACGAAAAGCCAAAACTATGTTCACACTGGATCGGTCACAGATGGTTCCGGTCCAAGATGACCAGTCCATGCGTTCACACGAGACCCAGTTCCCTACTTATTATAAGGAAGGGCCCGGCCTGGACCCGTATAGACAGTACGGATAGCAGGTTCTGCATGAACAGTTTTTGGACGGGACCCATTTGAACCGTCCTATGTGAACATAACTTAAGTAAAACTTTACGCAATACATGTTACCTGTCCCAGTTCTGATTGTGTACAGCGTGGCACAGATGGCATGGTAACTATGAATCTGCCGCCTGTTAAAATATCTTCAGCTTCATGAATAAAATAAGGCAATAAACTCTGTCTGTCTCGGATTATCAAGAGCTCGGTGGGTAAAAAAACAGTCTAAATCTCACTCTCCAGTTCAGGGTCTCGAGTTTGTCTTCTCCTGAAGAAGAAAGAGCTCTTGACGGGCGGCGGACCTTGAAGCATTGGAACCTGATTCTTGTGTGTGATCAAAATCTGACAAATGAGAAAATAAACATGCACAGTACTTAAATAGCTACGCCGCCTTTAAGGAAATAATTGAACTTTGCCATCCCAAGTGTACAGGCAACTTCCATGTCACAAAAAATGGTATAAGCAACACGAGTGATTTGGACATAGATACGCCTGGGCGCAGAGAATTTCGATCTGAGCAATTCTGTTCGCGGGTTCAAGTACCGTTCTGACCACTAGCTGAAGGGGAGGTCCCGGGTTCAAATCCTCGGCCAAACAGGTAAAAACCAACTGGTCAGCTTCCTGCCGGTTGGGTCTTAATCCTATAATGTTTAATTTCAATTATTGCTCGGCGACACTAGCCTTTGCTTACATATATATTTTTTCTCTCAATAAAAGAATTATCAAGCATCTGCAATGATTACAGACACAGGCTTCCGGGAAAGAGTCCTCTAGAATAAGGTAAACAGCAAGTATCCACGCACGATGTTGTATTTTCTTAGGGTGCAAATAACTTGCACTGAACTTCTGAACACATTGCATGCACGCAACATTTTATTACGCGTAACAGGGCCCTAAGACACCGATCTGGAGTAAAATGGAATTTGATTCCCGAGTGTTTGATAACTGAACATTACTATCCAAATCAACTCGGTGGAAGGTAAAATAACGATCGAAAATAAGTACAAAAATCCCAAGATATTTGTACTCGAGTTCAAATATTTCAGGATATATGTATTCTAGGAAACCGGTTTAACAGGTTACTTAGTTCCCGTTTACGTAGTTCTCCTGGGCACCAGCAACGCAAAATTCAATTCAAAATTTGATTATGTATCACTTGTCAGACCTTGTGGTTTGTGGTATCCCCGCACATTTTAACTCGTCATTTGGAGAGTGACTCGCTCTACAGACTTGTTAAAATACATTCACCTTATTCCATGGTTTAACGCGCGAAATACGAGGAATGAGCAAAATGTCCGCGCCGGCGCGTATCAGTATTTTGTTAAACATCGAATGAGAGATTTATTGTTCCACTATTGTCATTTTCAGTGTTCAACGAGTAATTTGGTTTCTAGTTTTTTAACTACATGACTCAGCCAAAAATCTTACCGATCGCATAAGGCGAGTGCGAATGACGAAAACAAAATACGATTCTAGAGTTCTGCGCGTTCTCTTGATCTAACATAGTAAGATGTCGTAATAGTGGAATAACAATGCAAGATACTAATAAAAAGCATGTGGAACAGCGGCTGTGTAGTCTCATCCCTCATCGTGCCCCGCAGGACACCTAAGGCCATTCCGGCTGTGTAGTAACTGCACGTAACTTTGCTCACCTCAGCTGGTGGCTGCATCCACGGCTCTCCATCTATTTGCATTGGAAACAACTTCTTGGTTCTAATGAAAGAAAACCAGTCGCACTCAGATATTGAAAAAAAAAAAAATCAATAGAACTATTCAATAAGGAGTCCCTTGTCGAGCAACACCAGCAGAGAAACATAGTACCACGTGAGTGAACACAATGATTCATGGCCAAACACAGGAGAAGGGGAGTCTGCATACCTTCCTATTTGCAGCGAATCATGACTTGATCTTATCTTGAGTAGAAAGAGTACGAGAAGCCATAGAAAATCTACAGTTATTATGAACAGCACACTCACCTAATTACAATAGAGGAACACTGAGCTAATCTTAGACCATGTGCTCTGACACCAACGATAATCTGACTAACAAACAGAGTGTTTTCAAGTCCAACAACTTCCAGCTGCCCGTCTCCTATGTCTAAACAAAAAAAAAAAACGAAAAACAAACATGACTACAACTTAGCTAATAGGGTAGTAGGAGACCTGTGATCAACCTCGTTCCCAGGGTCTCTCATCTTTCCGCCCTACCGCCCTCTCTCGCTCCGGTAGGATGGAGGGATCAGAGACCCTGGGAACGAGATAGGCCCGTGATGGGAGAATAGCGGAAACAACAACACTCACAGTGCAGGTACAGTCCGAGAAACTGTGAACCTGGTAGATTTGAGACAGAGACTATTTGGAGAAGACAACACACCTTGCACTGCCCACTCCAAATCATTGCCTCTGCCGCCTGATTTAGCACGTGACCGTCTGGCCTTCTTCTTGTCGGTTTCACCCCAGAGGTTCGCTCCACCGTACACACTGGGAATATTCACAACAGCAATACCTTCCAGTTGAGGGAGGTCTAATGGTGTGTCATCACACTGAGAAAATTAAACATATTGATGTTACCCAAAAACATGCACTGATTTACACTGGAGCAACACCCACACTCAGCCGGAGGAATTTGAAAACGCAGCTTTCTTTCAGCGGTTAGACCTACAGTCCACACTAAGCTGTCACGAAAACGGAGCTTTTCAAAAACGACGACCTCACAAGAATCATGGGTTTTCCCTGACCAAGTTTTTCTTAAACACAAATCCAAAATAACTGGTAATTGTTGCGGTTTTAAATTCCTCCGCCGTGGTGTGGAGGAAAAATATTTGATGCGTTTTGAGAGCAAAACCTCTGCTTTTTTTAAAATTCCTACAGCGTAGTGTGGACGGGGCCTTAATCGCCCACAGAAAAATGGCAATTTATGTCATGAGTAACTGGGTGAATGAAATAGGTCAATGCAAAAATCATCACCTGGTGCAAAATCCGAATATTGAACGGGAAACGAATGCGACGGCCTTCATAGCAAAGCGACCTAAAACCAGTTAATTTGTGACTTTTCCTTATTTTGGATGTCCAAGCGAATTGCTTGCTGTTCTGCGGCATTTTGTAATAACTACGCATTTTGTAATACCTTACGCATTTTGTAATAAAAGTTGCAGCATTTTGT